GATAGATATAATTTGCATGTGGGGCAGGGTAACTTGCATAACATCTCATACCCTTCACAACTTCGGGCTTCACGTTATTTTGTAGCTCTCAGTTACCTACAGGTTAGTTATGAAACCTAAAGGGCAATGGAAGTCTCAGCGCCACCAGAGAATCAGATCAGGCCACCTGGAAGGTTGTCCTCCCGTCTAGACAACGCATTGTTTTTATTCATTCATTAGTTCCTTTCCTCATTTCTTCAATGTCTTCTTCTGCATGTTGTGCCAAGCCCCGGTGCCGTGTGTTGGAGACACTGTGGTTAGCAAATCAGAAAGTATCACTCTTCTCTCAGAGCTCACAGCTGAGTCGAAAAGACCGACACCATGAGTCGCGAAGTACTGAATGCAAATTGTGACGGGATCGATGTCTTTTCCAGCTGTAATTTCTAAACAGGTGTATGTAGAAACATCAGATAACACACTCCTGTCTGAAAGCGCAGGAACGAGGCTGTAAATTAATAGCTCCAAGAGGCTCCCCTGTTAGTTAAGATGGCTGCTGGGCTCCCCTCTCCATTGCTTGGAATCCATTGTGATGAATCCATTGTCTCTGCCATGCCCTGGAAATCTAGATTGTTTGGGTCACGTCCTGCGTTGTAGCACTATTTATTAGAAACTAAAACCTCTGACGGGAACGATCATAATGTTGAAATGATAGAATTCAAAAGGAAACACCGATAGGAGCTGCTCTGTAATGGTTGTCTTGTGCTCAGGCCTTGAATCTCTGGCAACGACTTAAAAGCCCATTGGAATCGTGTTAATTGTGACCCAGTGGGCGCTAAACTATGGGGATGTCCTTCTCAGTGTGACCCAAAGGCTTAGCGACACAGGTTTCAGGCAGGTTTACTGTCCTGGCCCCTGGGCGGGGGCTCAGCGCGGGTGAGCTTCTTCCTGTGGCCTTTGATTTACCAGGAGACAAGATGAATCGTTCTGCTGAACAGTAACAGCAGAGTCCAGCAGAGGCGAGGCTGGCAGATTTGCCTCGTTAAAATTATAGAATTCCAGACCTACCCCACTGCGACGGCATTTTCCAAATCTGGAGCTGGAGGCTCAGATTTCCCCTGACTTTCTTCGGGCACAAATCCCTGCCAAGTGGCCTGGCCACCCGTAGTTAATTTCATTAGCTTACATAGCCTGTCCTCCTCAACGGAAGTGTGTTACTGAGAAAGCTCTCTAGTGAGCTGAGGCGCAAAGCAGAAATAAAAGTAACAGCTATTGTTTCAGGGGAAAATAATGATCCACACATAGATGGCAGCAAGGCTGTCAAGTTTGTGTCCCATGTCATTTATTTAGCAGGCTTCTCTGTTCAAACTTCTGATGATGAGGGGAGGGCTGGGGGTGACATTTCTCAAAGTATACTTCCTTATCTTGGTTTGATTGTTGAACCATGTGAATATGAATATGTTAGCTAAAAGGGGGGGGGGCAGTGAATGCTATCCACTGCTTTTCTCTAATTTGGACTATGTCTCTGAGTACAGAAAGATATGCGACTTAACAGCACATACATGCCAGGGTTTTGACAACTTCCAATCTGTTTCTTACCTATTAAATCAGAGAACTTTTGATTAATCTGTTCCTGTGCCTGCATATATCACAGTGAATATAATATGAAGTCTTGCTGGAAAAGTCGAAGGATAGATGCATTATGCCTATATTCTGTTATAAACAATGGAGGGATTTTTATTTCCTCTAAATACTTGTGCGAATCAGTATGATGGAAGTGTTTGCAGACTTTTTCAGGTGTTAATAGTGATAGCTCTACTATTTGTTGTGTTAGTTGAGTTGCTGATGCTGAATCAGTTGTGTTCAGTTTAAAAGAGTAACTTCCTATTGCATTGCATAATAATGCAGATCACATGATACCAAATGAATATGTCAAACTTGAGTTATAACGAAATAGACGTGTACTCATAATTGAATGCTATCTGAAGAGAGAGATATATCAAGCCATAACATTTCGACTTTC